CCCTCTCTCTCTCTCTCTCTCTCTCTCTCTCTCTCTATATATATATATATATATATATTACTGTTTTTACTGTATTGTCAGCCATGACATAAGAAAGTTATTATATTTTAATTGTACATGTTGATTCGTTATGTTGATCTATGAATGCATATCATAATTACAAACATATTTAAAAAATACATGATTTACAAGTTTCAATAGAAATGACATTAAACTATATTTTAGTTCACCATAAATGCATGGCAGTATTCAGCAGTAACTTTAGAATAGAATTAATTGTGGAATTACATATAAAGATGTACTGAAGTCCTACTTAAGTTGGTCAAAAAAGGCACTTAATTTCTACTAAATACATTTCATTTAAATTTAAACTCGAATACATTTTCATTTAATTTGAAATAACATGCAATTACGTGTCCGAAAACATAACATTCAGTTCACACTTCAGCATATTGTTTTAAAGTTTATTATTTCCATAATAAGAGCTCATTAAAAGTGTGGTGACGTTTTAAAGGGTGGCTCTTTCAGTCTTGAACATGCTTGACCTTTATTAATCAGAGGAGACTCTCCCTTCCCAATGCTGGATGTTTTGGCAGTTCATCTCATTATGTTGCCATTATTTGTTTTAGCCTTGATACTGTTTGAACACTGGCTTGACTCTGACTCAAGAATGTGCGCTAATGGAAACAAATTAGACTTACCTGGTGTGTCAACACACACACACACACACAAACACACTCACTCACACACACACACACACACACACAGAGACACACACACACACACACACGCACACACACACAGATACACACACTCACACACACACACACACGTTGTGTTTTCATGTTTTATGGGGACATTCCATAGGCGTAATGGTTTTTATACTTTACAAACTGTATATTCTATTGCCCTACACCAACCCTACCCCTAAACCTAGCCCTTACAGGGAACTTTCTGCATTTTTACGTTCTCAAAAAAACTCATTCTGTATGATTTATAAGCTTGTTTCCTCGTGGGGACCTCAAAAATGTCCCCACAAGGTCAAAATGTACTAGTATTACTATCCTTGTGTGATAAATACACACAGACACACACACACACACACACACACACACACAAAGGTTATGGTGAGATGTATTGCGGATTTTGAGGTCCTCCTACTCACAAGCTCGGTGGTCATAATAATGCACGATGCACGAACAGATTTAGTTTGGAAAAAATTACTGTGTTAGGCGATTTCATATTTATTTTTCTCTTTTTAACTTCCTGCCAAAGCAGGAAGCTTTTTTAGAACAACTTTAGCAAAATCAAAGGTAAAGGGTGTGAATTAGGTCTGTAAATGTCTTTATGTATTTTAGCTTTCACTTGCTGGCACAGGGAATAATGGGAAATGCAGTTTGGCTGCACAAGCCTCATAAATCGGCTAAATGCGTAGTGTTTTCTGCCAAGCTTTACCACTCTTCCTCATCAACTGCACAAATTGTGTACAAACTACATTGCATGGTCAATATTCATAAATTGTGCCCAATAGCAATTTGTCTCTGTCGTTACACTTTTCATTAGAATTGCATTATCCGTACACACACATATTACACAGCTCTGATTTTATGATGTTAAAAAATATCAATACAACTTTCCATCACACAGTTTTTTTTTCAAATCATATAAATGTATCAGCTTCAATGCACTTATCAAAATAACAAAAGCAAATCTCAAAACTTTTAATGACAAAAGTAATTGGTATCATTGTAAAAATGTATCAGTTGTATCAACATAAAAACAAAACTATCATTTGACTTACAATCTACAGAGGAAAAATATGTTCAAATGCTTCATTTAATGACAAAGAACTTTAAACATAGGTTTATAAATAAGCTTTTTTTCTGTCTCTGTTTGGATGCTGTAAAACATTTACATGATGTGGCACAAAACATCTGGCTCATGCTTGCATTTTCTTCTGTCACTGGCCATAATAAGCATGAAATAATGTAATGCATGTGAAACAAATAGTTGTAATGTGGCTCAGAGGAAAACAGGAATCATGCATTTGTGTTGTTTTTCTGCTGAGTAAGCAATAATGCAAGACTTCTTCACCTTACAAATGCAAAAAAGGCTACAAAATGCATCATCTTTTGTGAGAATGCATGAAACAGACACTATGTTTGGAATCAGCACCCTCAAATTAGTAAGAAACACGCACTGGATCTCATTCAAAAAATACGATGCAGGAAAGAAGCAATGCTCATTCTGACTCGTCAAATCTGATTTGACCTTTGACCTTATTATATATTGCTCACGTATCTTTCTGTGTCAGGCTGAATGACGCCCCAGTCAGAGGCTATGAGGAGGACGTGGGTAACAAGACCACGTTACGTCTGTTTTATCCCGAATCCGCCTCCCATAACCCAGGTATCCACAATGACCCGGACACCCTGCAGGTCCTGGTTCCTTTCAAACAGCAGGACCTCCGCTGGCTCAAAGAGATCCTGTATGATGAGAAGAGGGTCAGTCTGTCCCACCGTTTTTCTTCATGTGCCAGCATGCACCAGATTTCCCAGTAATCATGAGGGGCTGTGCTCGATTTAGGTCCGAAAGGGTTTCTGGAAACCTCCTCCCCAGATCTGGCTCGGCCGGGCCAGTCAGATCCGTGTCCTGGACCCATATTTCCTTCGCCTAACAGCCAGCAAGCTGCTTCAGATCATTTCCCTGCAACCGCGCAGACAACAGGTGAGATCTGCACACATGGCCAGGATTCAGGGAACGACAAATACCCTTATTGCCATGGAAACGCTCTTACTTTGGCAGAACAGATGTTCCAAATAATAGATAAATTTTGGTGTCATCTCAGACATGGATATAGTGCTATTTACATATTTGATAGTAATGAAATGTTTATAATGAGACTTTGGTCCAAAACCGGAAGAGTTGCCTACATAGGCTGCATTTTAATGCATCATATATGTGACCCTGCTGGACCACAAAACCAGCCATAAGGGTCGATTTTTGGAAATTGAGATGTATGTAACATCTGAAAGCTGAATAAATAATCTTTCCATTGATGTATGGTTTGTTAGGATCGGACAATATTTGGCTGAGATACAACTATTTGAAAATCTGGAATCTGAGGGTGCAAAAAAATCTTTAAAGTTGTCCAAATGAAGTTCTTAGCAATTCATATTACTAATCAAACATTAAGTTTTGATATATTTACGGTAGGAAATTTACAAAATATCTTCATGGAACATGATCTTTATTTAATATCCTAAAGATTTTTGGCATTAAAGAGAAATGTATAATTGTGACCCATACAATGTATTGTTGGCTATTGCTACAAATATCCCCCAGTGACTCAACACTGCTTTTGTGCTGCAGGCTCACATATGGATTCTTGACATTAAAGTTGCCTACATTTTAAGGCAGAAAAAAAGCATACATTTTAAATAAAAGTTTTTAGAGAAAAAAAAAATAGATTAGATTATATTAAAAAAAATGTATTATACTAAAAAAAAATCTAATAAAATGTATTATTCTTTTATATAATATTTATAAATGTATCAAACATAATTCCATTGAATTAAAGATTCATTATTCTATCCAATATATTTTAAACTTGAAATCAGAACTGAGTCACCTGCACTTTGCCTGAGGATTCTTGACATTAAAGTTGCCTACATTTTAAGGCAGAAAAAAAGCATACATTTTAAATAAAAGTTTTTAGAGAAAAAAAAAATAGATTAGATTATATTAAAAAAATGTATTATACTAAAAAAAATCTAATAAAATGTATTATTCTTTTATATAATATTTATAAATGTATCAAACATAATTCCATTGAATTAAAGATTCATTATTCTATCCAATATATTTTAAACTTGAAATCAGAACTGAGTCACCTGCACTTTGCCTGAGGAACAATGTATTTGCATTATGCAAAACACAAAGAAGCTTCTGACTGCAAATCGTCCAGGTGGCAGTGGAAGACGTGACATTGTTTAGCAGACGGATTCTGTTCAAATGTTTGGGGGTTGATAAACTTTTTAATATTTTTTTTGAAAGAAGTCCCATTTATATGATCACAAATACAGGACAAATAGTACTATTGTGAAATATTATTACAATTTAAAATAGCTGTTTTCTATATGAATATAATGTATTCCTTTACTCCAGTCTTCAGTGTCACATGATCTTCAGAAATCAGTATAATATGCTGATCTGCTGCTCAAGAAACATTTCTGATTATTATCAATGTTGAAAACAGTTGTGCTGCCCAATATTTTTTGTGGAAACTGTGATACATTTTACTTTCCAAGATTATTTGACGAATAGAAAGCTCAAAAGAGCAGAAATCGAAATCTTTTGTAACATTATAAAGGTCTTTACTGTCACTTTTGATCAATTGAATGTGTCAGTTAAATTCTGCTGTTCGTTTGCGTCGCTTACAGTAGTGAAGGTCAGACTATCATTCTTACAGATCGGCCTAAACCATAAATGATGCTGCGTTTAATAAAATCACAATCCAACTGGCCAGCGTTTCACTCAGCAAAGCCAGTTTTCACTCGCATGTGTTAATGTTGTATTCTGCTTGTTTGTCAGAGAGAGCCAAGAGGTTTGTTTCTGTCAATTATCTGTAGTGTAGTCCACGAGTGTCCTGATAAACCCACAGAGAATTACGATTAGTAATGTGTCTGTTTATTTCTGGTGCATGCCGGTAACAGCCTTGCACTTCATCCCTCTCTCTGTGTCAGTCTGTCTTTCGTCATCATTTGGTCATCCATATTTTTAAACTAAGCACAGTGAGTCAGTCAGGCTTAGACAAACACAAGCGCATTTATATCCTATTTCCCTTCAGGGTAATTTAGTATTTTTGGAGGCACACCCCTCCACATATTTCTGTCAGGCGGACATGATTTTTTAGTCAGCATGATTGTAGAGACGGCGCAGACACACGTGCAACAGATGGACCGTCTTGCTTCTTATGTATTACATACACGGCCACTTCTGGAGCTGTTAGTGCAAGAAACGGACTGAAACCACAAATGATGTCTTAAGTTCAACTTCACCACACTGAAGGCCTAACTAGTTCTTAAGCTGGACACCGATTAGCATTAGCCGAAACCAGCACAGCCTTCCTGTCAGCCGTCAGTAGGAAATGCTAGCAGACCCGCTGCTTCTAAAATTAGAAGTACTGTGGAACAAGAAAATGGAAAATGTTTAGGTAATATGCTGATCTGCTGCTCAAGAAACATTTCTGATTATTATCAATGTTGAAAACAGTTGTGCTGCCCAATATTTTTTGTGGAAACTGTGATACATTTTACTTTCCAAGATTATTTGACGAATAGAAAGCTCAAAAGAGCAGAAATCGAAATCTTTTGTAACATTATAAAGGTCTTTACTGTCACTTTTGATCAATTGAATGTGTCAGTTAAATTCTGCTGTTCGTTTGCGTCGCTTACAGTAGTGAAGGTCAGACTATCATTCTTACAGATCGGCCTAAACCATAAATGATGCTGCGTTTAATAAAATCACAATCCAACTGGCCAGCGTTTCACTCAGCAAAGCCAGTTTTCACTCGCATGTGTTAATGTTGTATTCTGCTTGTTTGTCAGAGAGAGCCAAGAGGTTTGTTTCTGTCAATTATCTGTAGTGTAGTCCACGAGTGTCCTGATAAACCCACAGAGAATTACGATTAGTAATGTGTCTGTTTATTTCTGGTGCATGCCGGTAACAGCCTTGCACTTCATCCCTCTCTCTGTGTCAGTCTGTCTTTCTTCATCATTTGGTCATCCATATTTTTAAACTAAGCACAGTGAGTCAGTCAGGCTTAGACAAACACAAGCGCATTTATATCCTATTTCCCTTCAGGGTAATTTAGTATTTTTGGAGGCACACCCCTCCACATATTTCTGTCAGGCGGACATGATTTTTTAGTCAGCATGATTGTAGAGACGGCGCAGACACACGTGCAACAGATGGACCGTCTTGCTTCTTATGTATTACATACACGGCCACTTCTGGAGCTGTTAGTGCAAGAAACGGACTGAAACCACAAATGATGTCTTAAGTTCAACTTCACCACACTGAAGGCCTAACTAGTTCTTAAGCTGGACACCGATTAGCATTAGCCGAAACCAGCACAGCCTTCCTGTCAGCCGTCAGTAGGAAATGCTAGCAGACCCGCTGCTTCTAAAATTAGAAGTACTGTGGAACAAGAAAATGGAAAATGTTTAGGTGAAATCATCAAGCTAGTCTGTGACTTAGTAGCATGCATTGTTTATTCAGGGTTCACACGGTCACGGAAACCATAGAACTTACTTTTAGCCAAGGTTATTATAGTTAACTAAAAGTAAAATTAAAACTAAAACCAGTTACTTGAAATAAAGTAAAAGTTAACTAAAATATTAAAATCGTAAACAACCTAACCCTAAAAAACGGACAAAACAATACAACACAATTACTAAAACTTTAACAACATTTTAAATGAAAACGGAAAATATAAAAATGAAAACAAATTCAAAATATTAACAAAATATACAAAAATATTACGAATTAAACTAAAATAACTGTGCTTCAGCTACCATGAGCTTAGTTAATAATAATAGTAATAATAATATTATTTATTAATTTCAGGCACAAAAAAAAAAAAAAAAGTATTTGGACACTGAAAGGATTAGTTCACCCAAAAATGTAAATTCTGTCATTAATTCCTCACCCTCGTGTCGTTCCAAACCCGTAAGACCTCCGTTCATCTTCGGAACACGAATTAAGATATTTTTGATGAATTCTGAGAGCTCTCTGACCCTCCCATAGACAGCAAGGGTACTACCACGATCAACGTCCAGAAACGTAGCAAGGAGATCACATCAGGGGTTCAGCCGTAATTTTACGAAGTTACGAGAATACTTTTTGTATGCAAAGTAAACAAAATTATCGACTTTATTGATAATTTTGCTCCCCTGGTGCCATTTTGGAGAATATCCACTGAACATAAACAGCGTATGCTATTCTGTGTCAGCTGCGTCACGCGGATACATTTTCTACATTGTTTACGCTTTGATTTGAACGAAAACAACGTATCTGCGTGACGCAGCCGACACAGAATAGCATACGCGGTTTACGTTCAGTAGATATTCTCCAAAACGGCGCTACAGGGTGACGAATTGTTGAATAAAGTCTTTTTTTCTTTTCTTTTGCACACAAAAAATATTCTAGTAGCTTTGTAAAATTACAGTTAAACCCCTGATGTCACATGGATTATTTTACCGATCTCCTTGCTACATTTCTGGACGTTGATCGTGGTAGTACCCTTACTGTCTATGGGAGGGTCTGAGAGCCCTCAGAATTCATCAAAAATATCTTAATTCATGTTCCGAAGATGAACGAAGGTCTTACGGGTTTAGAACGACATGAGGGTGAGGAATTAATGACAGAATTTAAATTGTCAGGCGGACATGATTTTTTAGTCAGCATGATTGTAGAGACGGCGCAGACACACGTGCAACAGATGGACCGTCTTGCTTCTTATGTATTACATACACGGCCACTTCTGGAGCTGTTAGTGCAAGAAACGGACTGAAACCACAAATGATGTCTTAAGTTCAACTTCACCACACTGAAGGCCTAACTAGTTCTTAAGCTGGACACCGATTAGCATTAGCCGAAACCAGCACAGCCTTCCTGTCAGCCGTCAGTAGGAAATGCTAGCAGACCCGCTGCTTCTAAAATTAGAAGTACTGTGGAACAAGAAAATGGAAAATGTTTAGGTGAAATCATCAAGCTAGTCTGTGACTTAGTAGCATGCATTGTTTATTCAGGGTTCACACGGTCACGGAAACCATAGAACTTACTTTTAGCCAAGGTTATTATAGTTAACTAAAAGTAAAATTAAAACTAAAACCAGTTACTTGAAATAAAGTAAAAGTTAACTAAAATATTAAAATCGTAAACAACCTAACCCTAAAAAACGGACAAAACAATACAACACAATTACTAAAACTTTAACAACATTTTAAATGAAAACGGAAAATATAAAAATGAAAACAAATTCAAAATATTAACAAAATATACAAAAATATTACGAATTAAACTAAAATAACTGTGCTTCAGCTACCATGAGCTTAGTTAATAATAATAGTAATAATAATATTATTATTTATTAATTTCAGGCACAAAAAAAAAAAAAAAAGTATTTGGACACTGAAAGGATTAGTTCACCCAAAAATGTAAATTCTGTCATTAATTCCTCACCCTCGTGTCGTTCCAAACCCGTAAGACCTTCATCTTCGGAACACGAATTAAGATATTTTTGATGAATTCTGAGAGCTCTCTGACCCTCCCATAGACAGCAAGGGTACTACCACGATCAACGTCCAGAAACGTAGCAAGGAGATCACATCAGGGGTTCAGCCGTAATTTTACGAAGTTACGAGAATACTTTTTGTATGCAAAGTAAACAAAATTATCGACTTTATTGATAATTTTGCTCCCCTGGTGCCATTTTGGAGAATATCCACTGAACATAAACAGCGTATGCTATTCTGTGTCAGCTGCGTCACGCGGATACATTTTCTACATTGTTTACGCTTTGATTTGAACGCAAACAACGTATCTGCGTGACGCAGCCGACACAGAATAGCATACGCGGTTTACGTTCAGTAGATATTCTCCAAAACGGCGCTACAGGGTGACGAATTGTTGAATAAAGTCTTTTTTTCTTTTCTTTTGCACACAAAAAATATTCTAGTAGCTTTGTAAAATTACAGTTAAACCCCTGATGTCACATGGATTATTTTACCGATCTCCTTGCTACATTTCTGGACGTTGATCGTGGTAGTACCCTTACTGTCTATGGGAGGGTCTGAGAGCCCTCAGAATTCATCAAAAATATCTTAATTCATGTTCCGAAGATGAACGAAGGTCTTACGGGTTTAGAACGACATGAGGGTGAGGAATTAATGACAGAATTTAAATTGTTGGCTGAGCTATCCCTTTAAGCTCCACTTAAATACTAAATAGTAATATTTAAACAAAAGAACTAAGTGATGCTAGTCCTGATTCTAATTTGATTCTATTTCTAATGAACATTTCTGAGACATTTTGAAATCAGTGCTCAAGTTCACAAATAGGTTTATGACATTACTGTGAACAAGATCTACTAATGGTTGACAACTAGAAAGTGACCACAGGGCCAGTGGTGTTGCACAATGTTTACAGCCACATTTGGAACGGAGAGGTGATGAACTCTTGTTCTGCGGATGAACATGGTGAGAGAGTTTTGAAGCAGAAGCTGAGATGTGCGATGTCTTTGAGGAGATGTATGAGCGTGTTTTGTGTGGGAGCGCACAGATCAGTAGCTGCGGAAAAGCTAATTACTTGGAACGAGAGAGAGAGAGAGAGAGAGAGACAGAGAGAGAGCCAAGATGCATTACTTTATTTTACTACTGTAAGTGGAAAGTTTCAAAAGTTGGCAATAATTTACTGAGAATGCGTTTTAAATAGTTTATTGCATTGTTTTGATGGCAAGGTATGTGTTAAACATTTTTAAGGAAGTCTAAAACCTCATAC